ATATACAAGCTGAAAAGAGTAATTAATATGTTGATTTCTATCGATTTTCAATGGTTTAAAGAATATAGGCTCTAATAAATCATTTGAATTTCTTGAATCTAATATATTAAAAACTAGTGAAAAGAGAGGAGGGTTATTAACTATAGCAAAATCAAATGTCATTTTATTATAACGATTATATAACTTGATATTATAAGCTTTGAATTAATTGAAAGATTTTTGATTAAAGAGTTAATAGATTCAATTGTTTATTTATATTGAATATATTTGTTTATTATAAGGTTATATATACTAAGGTGATCATATAAGCTTTATATAGTTGATAAAAAGCAATGTTTATTATTAAAATAAGTATTATAATACAATGATATTATTATCGCTATTATATTATTCGAAAAATTGAAGATATATTATGTATAGTTTTTATAGTGATATATAATAAGATTGCGCTTTACATAATACAAATATTTTTTCCAAGTTTTCTATAGCCACACTATACAAATTTTAGAATTTTTTTTTGCTTTAAGCAGAAATCTATTTTTGAGGTTTTGGCTATATCGACCAAATCGGCCTTGGTATTCTGAGAGATTTTATATGCGAGATGAATGCTATCATTGTCGAATTTCGAGGGATTGACGTTATGTTATGTAATTGACAAGTTTGAATGAATGTTCTAAGGGATATTTGTTTGATTAAAAAATTCCAGAGACTATAATGTAAGTTTATATAGGTAAGATCTTCAATTTTTATTTCATCTATCTACTGGTATATCTCTGCCTCTATTATATCTTTTCTTCTTTATTTCTTCATTCAACTCACTCGTTAAGCACTTACAATATGCACAGACCACCCACCCAATTCCCAATGCCCACCCCACGTGCCCACATTCACCCGAATCCCCCACTTCTCAAGTATTCCACGTGAATATGAATGTAGATAATTAGCCAAAATAAAACACTATAATAATAAAAAACAGCAAGGACTTGTGGTGTAGTGGTTATCACGTCTGCTTTACACGCTGGTTTGAATTTGACTATGTGAGATCGCAGCAGGTCCCCGGTTCGACCCCGGGCAGGTTCATTGACCTTTTTGGAGGTTTCTTTTGGAGTTCTTTTGGATGAGGGGGGCGAGGGTTTAGAGGGAGAGGAGAGGAATCAGAGGATGGATAGGTGGAAGGAAGAATGGTAGATGTGGCGGCTGTGAGTGGCTGTGAGTGGCTGTTCGAAAGTCTCCAATGCTCCGCTTAAATATAGGCCACCAATCAATCATCTTGTAGCTATTATGATTTATTTTAATGTGTATAGAGAGCATCGAAGGTTATTTGAACAATAGACTTTTATTGTGTGTGTGTATATTACTCTCGACCTACAACAGCGAATTAATTATTCGACTTATTCTTTCTTTTATTGATAATTGTGTACCTAGCTGGGTAAGTAGACTCGCATCGAAACCTTCCCATCTCACAGCCGCTAACTACAAACACTTTCCTTTTTTTCCCCTTTCCGACCGTGTCATCTTTGCTTGGTAAGGGATGCCGTCGAATCGAGGTCATGAAAGGGTTTGAATAACACGGGTGTGTGTGTGTGTCGAAGTGAATTGTGGGTGTAATGTGGTGTTTTAGTGAGTGGTTTGGAAATGGGGAAGGGGATGGGAGGATGGATAGATTGGATGAATTGGTTGATGATGTTGAGGAAGGGGAGGGGATGGCGGAATTGATTGGGTATGTATGGTATGTATGAGTATCCTATATTCATCTTATAGTGATCACGGTGCGAAGGTAATTGATTTGTTATATGGTGGAGAATTTGAAGTGTGTACCTATCTATGTATTAAGTCAACTACCCCACTTTCCGACCACCCCCTCTTTTCGACCACCTCAAAAACCACACCGCTTTGAGTAATTATAAAATTTATACTTTGAATAACTCAACAATGCTTTAATCAATTGATTTGAAATTTTGATATTATTATAATTGTGATATGAAGAATAGATATACCGAAGAAGATATCGCAGAGGCTCTTAGAGCGATTACAAATGGAGCAAGCATACGAAGAGCTAGCTTGGATTATGGTGTTCCACGTACCACACTTCACGATCGAATATATGGTGGAGTTTCGCATCAAAAAGGCGCCCAAATACTTCAAAAGTTATCTCCAATTCAGGAGAATCGACTAGCAGAATGGATATTAGTACAGGAAGCTCTTGGTACTAGCCCTACACATCGTCAAATCAGAGAGATGGCAGAGCACCTCCTTATTGTACGAGGGGAGGATCCCTCACTTGGAAAGAAATGGATACATAGCTTTTTTCGAAGGCATCCTAATATTGGAACTAAGAAGCAACATCAAATCGATTCTGCACGAGTTTCAGGTGCTACATCTGATATTATTAAGAAGTGGTTCCGGAACCTCGCAATCCCTGAAATCAAGGCTATTAAGCCGGCCAACAGATGGAATATGGATGAAGCAGGTATAATGGAGGGTCAGGGTCTTAATGGACTAGTAGTAGGAAGCACTGATCGAAGATTTATTCAAAAAAAGCAACCTGGATCTCGAATTTGGACCTCTTTTATAGAATGCATTTCAGCCAATGGAAAAAGCATTACTCCCCTTGTAATATATAAGGGAAAATCAGTTCAACAACAATGGTTTCCAACAGATTTGACTCTATTCAAGGGTTGGAACTTTACCGCTACAGAAAATGGATGGACTACAGATGCTACAGCTTTAGAATGGCTGAAAAAGATCTATATCCCTCAAACTACCCCTATTCAGCCGGAAAATTCAAGACTCCTCATTTTGGACGGACACGGAAGCCATGAAACTACAGCATTTATGTTAGAATGCTTTAATAACAACATATATCTCTTACTTCTCCCACCACATACGTCACACGTACTACAACCACTCGATTTATCTGTGTTCTCACCCCTAAAAAGTGCATATCGAATCGAACTTAATAAATTAAGTCTATTATCCGATTCCTCACCAATTGGAAAGCGCAATTTCCTTTCTTGCTATCAGAAGGCTAGAATAGAAGGTTTAACTATTCAAAATATCAAGTCTGGGTGGCAAGCTAGTGGTCTTTGGCCCAAAAATATGGCTAAACCTCTTATGAGTCGACTTTTGCTTGAAAATAGCAATAGAGAGGTTTTATCACTTAATCCTGAATCTGATGATGATCCTATTCTTCAATGGAATATATATTCATCGTTTATTCAATGGAAAACCCCTCAAAAAGGAGCCGATATCAGAAAATATAGAGATATAATGATTCAAGAGAAGGAGATCGATTTGCCAACACGAAGATTACTATTTCGCAAGATTATAAAAGGATTCGATGCTAAGGATTATGAACCCTTAGAGGCAGAGAATAAGATTAGAAAGCTAGAATATCAATTAGATGAAGCATTACCTAGAAAAAGGCGAAAGGTTGTGGTATCTCCAAATTCGAAGTTCGCAGGGATTAGAGCTATAAGGCGTACACAAATTGAAGCTGGAGATCGTGAAGATGAGGTAGATGATAGCTCTAGTGCTATAGAAAGTGATTCTACAGGCGATTTCATTGAAGTTCAATAGTTATTGAGTTATTAAAGTTTTAAGTGTAGATAATATGAATTTTTTAGGTGGTCGGAAACAGGGGGTGGTCGGAAAGTGGGGTAGTTGACTTATGTTCGAATCGATTCGGGGGATACTGCACTCAGTGGTGTTCAGGATGATGTTGGAGATAGAGAGAGGAGTAAGTGTACAGTGGAAGGCAAGGAAGCATCACGGACGAGTTGTTATGGAGATTTTTAATGTCTGGAGTTGGTTTAATGTTTGAGTTTGGGTTAAAGTTTGGATTGGGTTTGATATCTGAAGTCAGTTGGATATCTGAATGTATTTGGATGTCTGAATGTTTTTGAATGTTTGAATTTATTTGAATATCTGAATTTATTTGAATATTTGAATTTAGTTAAATGTCTGAATGTATTTGAATGTTTGAATTTAGTTCGATATCCAAATCACACCAAATACCTCAAATTATCCGACAACCAAGAGCTCTTCGTCGTCGGACTAGTAGTACAATCCGTATCCTCTTCATACCTATCCGCATTTCTTTCCCCCGACCAATCAACTACCTTCCATCACCCTCTAAGTTCTCGATACATCTTGCTCCATTTGGGTTCCTTGATCTTGATTGTTTTCTTTCCCTTTGCCGTCGCTGCTCTAGTACATCTTGCACATTTGTTTAAACTCCATAGTTTTGATTTCTTAGAGGCTTTTGGACAGGAAGATGTGGTTTTGTGGGACTCGTTCCTCAGTTGGAGAGAATATTTATATGTATATTTGTGTATGTGGGAACAGTCATGGTAGGTATGGGTAATGGTACACATGATTTTGGTTGTAGCTATTATGCTAAGTTGTTTTGTGATTGGTGAGTATCCTGAGATTCGGAAAGATAATTTGGGTAGGTACGTATATTTGATATGGCGGTGACCGACTTTGGTATTTGCCGTTCCTGTATGTATTGATGAATCACAAGAGCTTTTAAAAAATGTGGTTGTTCGCTGCAAAGCTTTTGTACTAGAACATAACAAAGAAAGCAGAGTATGAAAGCCAGGGTTTGGAACTACAAAGAAGACAAAGAAGAGTTGATAATGTTCTTTAGATGTTAAAATCTTGCTCAAAGGCATACAGAATCTCTTTGTTTCGTTTCATTGTTAAGAACAATCGCTTTATTTATAGTTTGAACTGGGAATTGGATGTTATAGAGATTAATCTCGTGAAGGTGTGGGAGTATCTTGTGTTAAACCTTCGGTCTTATTCGAAGCAAATAGACAGGTGAAGGACAGAAGCGGAATGGGATCAGAACAACCCTCTCCGATGAGGTATAATGCTGGCTGATTCTAGACTTCTAAATTTTCATTAAATCAGTACTCCATTGATCAACACTCCAAACCCTACAACAGCAACTAAAACCAACCAAGAAAACACCAGATCAACTTACCAACCACATCATGTGTAACTGGATTTGCACCATCGAGGTTTGCCCCACTTGCGACAGCAAGCAAAAGACCAGCTATGAGGCTTTCCACTGTGAATCCAATTGCTATCCTGTCCGCAAAAACGCTTTCTTTTGTAAAAACTACCGGAAACTCAACAACGAGACTATAGCTGATTCTCCATGTATCAATTGCGAAGAACCGATCTCCATCTTCGAAGACTCGGGCTCAAGCGAGGTTGATCAGAAGACGGAAATGCGCAATTCGACGAACACAATCGGTATGTCAATGAAGAACAAATCAATTGGCGAGACAAGCGAGACTGTTGCAGTCGACGATGTTTCAGAAGATGAACGTGACTCAGATGATGGAAACATGTCCGATGTCTCAGAAGTTTCGGCTCTCTCAGACGAAGACGATGAAGATCACGACACAGTCATGGAAGGTTTGACGGCAGGACAAATTCAGTACGACGACGATGACACGTTTGACGTGCAGAGATTCTTTGGCGATACAGACTTGGACGCAGAGGAATCACCGTACTGGCCCAGAATCGACATGTTGAGAAGAGGGTATGATTAGATTGGCTGGACCAATCAGATCGGACCTCCTTGACTGAGAGAGATAGAAATTTGCTTTTTTCCTTAATAGATAGATATTATACCTAGATAATTTTGAATATATGAATGTGAGCCCCTAACGTGAGTTTAGCTAAATATTGAATCGAAAGGTTGAAGAGAAATGAAATTGACCTTGGAGAAAGACGGAATCGGAGTCATCTCTGGAAAGAATCGATCCTGGCACGTAGATGAAGACCCAATAATCAATACTTGACGATATATCGCCGGATGTAATGTGAGTGGTTTTTCACCAAGGAGATATATGGGAGCGACAAGGAGGATATATATGAGATTTTGGCGTTGACATGAGAGGACAACCTCGGCAGTTGCTTGGAGAAATGGGATATACCTAATCTAGCTTGGTATAAGCCTTCATCTCTCTGACCTAGGACTTTCCAATAAGCACAATTGCAATGAAATGTAAAGAGTTTATAATGGATGGCCCGTGTAGTGCATCTCCGTTTATCACTTTGTTACCATACAATGTGCGTGGTCTGCCTAATTGAAGGAGCTGGGCGCCAAGCGGAGCTGAACAGCTGCAATGCTGATAAGGACAATACTTCTACAAACCCAGCACAAGAATGTGAGCATTTCTGTTGAACATGTTATCTCGGCTTTTGGACTCTACGCTGGAAAAGCTGTCAATCAAGGAACCAACACCTGTGGAATCTCCTAAGGATTTATATCCAACCTTGTCTTTTCCTCCGCCTCGTCCGGCGGGGAAAGGAACTCGATCAATATGTGCACGATGTCTTACCCTACTATCACATATGATAAAACTATACGGAGATGGAACGAAGCATGGAAAACTTCAGATTGTACACTCTCCATCTATGCAAGTACGCGATTTTCGACCGAAACATACAAGTCTATGGATAAATCCTAAGGATTATCCCGAGGAGGATCCATTGCATGAGAATTGCGTTATGTGTGCAAAGATCCGAATTCTTTTTGATGCAATGCAAGCACATACATCATTTGAACCTTCCTTGCGAGATACACCTTATGAGGACTGGAGTTTGACTTGGGCGGGAAGTGTAGATATTCCGAATAGATGTCTTAGTGTACTTGTTACCACAAAACACAAGGGCGGGTTTTCTTGGGGAATTGGTATGTATCTACAACGAAGTTTATGAAAATTTATAGCAGCATAATGATTTAACGTGTGATCAGGTGGCTTTAAGGTCTACCCCAGTACGGAGAATGACACTGTACATATACCAGCCTCCGGGGAAATGTCCCATGATTACTCTGTTATTATACCACTAGATTTCCAGGATCCCACAGTGCAGGATACTGGCATTGTTCAACCCGAATATGCTGCTTTCTGTTCAACGCTGAGCGGTGGAACAATGGCCGGGGTAGGGTTATGGATGAATACTTGCGCAAACTCCCATGCAAAATGTCGCAGGATATTCAGAGAGGGTGGCAAAGATCAATATGACCCGGAAACAGATTGGTTTCCAGATCGCCTACTTAAAATTGCTCGAGACGACTCTGAGCCTGGATATTGTGATATAACTGCGCGTTTAGTACTAAGATCTGATCCTGCTGACTTTCCTCCTGAGTGGAAGGGAGTAGACTACGCTTCCCTCTCTCATTCTTGGGGTCCATCGCCGGATCCTTCTGCTCCGCTTGGTGGTCGTGTTGGAGCAGTGCTCACTGAGTCAAATCTTGCCCTTTGGCGAGTTGACGTGCCACTCGATGATCTTCCACTCACCTTCAGGCATGCAGTAATTGTGTGTGTTTCGCTAGGATTCAAGTACATCTGGATCGATAGCTTATGTATTATTCAAGACAGCCTTGAAGATTGGCAGGAGCAGAGCGCTATGATGAGAGATGTGTACAAGTTTGCATGGCTAAATATTGCGGCTCTGTCCACTACATCTGACTATGAAGGTTTTATCAATGAATATCGAGATCCACGAGCGGAGTATGGATTTCGAACTTCTTTTGCGTCTATTCTTGGCCATGATCTTGGACAACAGAATGCTGATAATGGCGACTGCTTGTTACTTAGTGGCGTAGCAAGGCTTTTGTGGAACTTCGCCTCTGACATACCTGGCAATACTGTATCGAATGCACCCTTATTCACACGAGCATGGGTATATCAAGAGCGCAATCTTGCTCGAAGAACTCTAGCTTTTTCGAAGAACAGTGTGTACTGGGCTTGTGATGAACATTCTGGTGGAGAACACCCCGAATGGGCTGGTATTCAAGGGTCGAGTTTACGAAGAACGTTGCACTTTGTACGGGAAATGTCTGTGTTGATGAACCCTGCTTCTCAAGAACAACTAATCAGTATACTGAACGATTTTGAAAGAATCTGGCAATCTACCGTAGCATCATACACACGTTGTAAATTGACACAAAACATGGATAAACTCATTGCCGTTTCATCCATCGCTCAAGAACTAGCCGCAATGATGCCCCAGAAATATCTCGCGGGGCTATATGATTTCAACCTTGTGCATCAACTGACTTGGGTTAACATAGATGGACGAACCACACCACGAAGAAAGCGAGTTGGAGACCCAGAGTATGTAGCTCCAAGCTGGAGCTGGGCCAGTGTTGCAGCACCAGTACATAATTATACCATCACTGCATCCGGCCTCAGTCCATTATATAAAGACAACCCTGGCCTTAAACAATTTGCACTAGCCAATGCACTAGACGCAGATGTAGCACTTGAAACAGAGTACCTTTTTGGTTTTGTGAAAGCGGGATGGATGAGATTACGTGGACGTTTGAATCGTGTAAAGGCAGCTTACAAAAGAGCACCGAGTTGGAATGCTTGGGAAAAAAGTATCAAGCTTATTGACGAATACACGGGACAAGGTATATGGTATACTGGAGATACGGAAGAGGCATATGAGATTATTAGTTGGAACACGGGAATCAGAAGCTTAGTATGGATGCCACTGCTGATATCATTCGATAGCACTGTGTCCTGTCAATGCATTTTTCTCGTTGAGGTAGATGCTTCCGATCAAATTGGTGATGATGGGAAATTCGTCAAGCCGGGGGAGAAAGTATATAGAAGGGTTGGAAGTGGAAATTTCGGGAGCGTTACGAGTAGTTTTCGACAAAATAAATTACTTACGGAATTGGGGACATATCCGATTATATTAGATAAAGATGGACAAGGACAGCTGTTGGCAAATGGATTTAAGAGAAGAGAAGATGGATTCGAGCAGATAGTGATTATATAAATGGGCACGATTTCTGGTATAGATTTTAGAGAGCTTAAAGTTCTCATCTAGTCTTGATTATATAGTCTTGACTACAATCAAACCATCATTGACAATCATGAGTTTTCAACCCGATGCTATACACTCGGGGATACAATCGGATGAGACATGGGACATACTTCAAATCGTGTGCGTTATTTTAGAGCCTTGGTATGAGCAAATGGGCGTGAGAGTAAAAGTGTACACACAAAAGGGGAACCCCTCATGACCTCCTCTCTCTTCCCTCCTTTTCAGAACTCTATGATAGTTCTAAATAATATGATTGCCCCAAACAATATGATTATCCCATTTGATATCATTATTCTGATCAACCTCAAGGCTCAACATCTCAATATATCTTTACACAATCATTCTCAGTATCCCCTGAATCATCACCTGGCGAGATCGTATAGAGATTGCACACTAACTCATTCAAGACACTCTATACGAACTTATACCATAACAAACTTCCAGCACTGTAATCGAATTCTTTCCCAACTCTTCAGGAATGCATTCCTAAACCCAGAATGTGTCATCGAGGTCCTTATAAATATGTAGATGCTTGTAAAGCGTCCGCTACATGCCCATCTATACCAAATGGGTAAGACACCCAGCCTTCCATGGAAGTGAGGTTTGCGATATCAAAGAGGAGAGTTGGCATTATTTCGTAGCTATTCGTCGATCAGGGGGTTCATCAATCGCAAAAATAGATCATTACTATGTAACAATAACAATACCAATCTACTGAGAAACAAATTCAATAAGCGCCACTGCCGCGATGTAAATTCAAGACCGTTCAACTACCTCCAAAGAAATCAGCCAAAACTACCTAGCGTACAATTAAATGCTAGCGCACATTAAAATGTAAATGGGGAACTAATCGCATGCCAATGCCATGAATAAAAAAGGGTTATTCCATAAAAAATAAAAATACCATCCGTAAAACTCATCGTATTCCAATTCCCCATATAACCAATTTCCCAAACCAACACCACCCAAACCTAAATATATCAGATTACCCTCTCCCTCCCCCCCACCCTCCCAAATCCAATATCCATGACGGACATTAAAACCCCAACCCTATCACCGACCCTATCCATAGATTCCTTACCAACCACTGACTCGCTCGGCCCCCTCTCCGAAGGTCTCCCGGAAAACACATCCCTATCCAGAAACTCACCACCGATCCTCGCCTCCCTCTCTCCCTCTCCCTCCTCGGTACTTCCACAGTGGCACATTCTCACTCTCCATGTGAAACATCCCGCCCTCTAGTCTCCGAATACTCGTCCATTCATTGCAAAAAAAAAGTATACTCCTCCGAAGCTAGCTACGCACATACATGACACGCACATACCTACTACCTCAAGAAGATAAAATACACACATACACACCTGGTACATACACACAATACCTCAATAGTCACAGACCAAACCTCACATACACATACACTTTCAATTTTTATTTTCTTTCTCGCAGCGGAGTAATCCCAATTTTCGATATACGAATATAATGTTCTCACCAACACCAAGTACCTATCTCTACATCGTATGATTTCATATTCTTCCAATAGAAAAGAAACCCAATACACCTACGCTACTCTCCATCTAACAACAGGTATCCACCAATGATCTCCGATCTAGCACTATTCACTTAATTTAGACTTTAGGACTCCCTAAACCTCGGGGCGTCGCCGATCTCCAATTCGTCGGCAAATACCCACACACAAACAATCGCATCATATACGAAGTACACTAGCAGACGTCATTTTTCCAAAGGAAGACTCGTGGAGTCGTGATCTCTACTTGAGAATTTAGATATCAGCACACATGTGTCTCCCACTCATTAATCTACTTGGATTTTACAAAAGTAAATACAGATTAATCCTGCCAACTGGACAAATGACTGCAATGGATTGACATTATAGAATGGAGTTTAAAGATAATAGGAGACATGATAATCTATAATTAAAACATGGGTGATAATTTCAGTTACGCAATCCCTCAAGAATCTCAGACTCTCGGATATCAAAAAACTCCACTCCTACCCATTACCATAAACATGTTCGTTGAATCAAATCCCATGTATGCCTAATATGCATTGGAGTATCACTTCCCATGAAACCAAAACACCATCCATCCATCCATCCATCCATCCGACCGTCCATTCCACCAAGTTCGACTCAATCCGATTCCCAAAACCGAACATCCAAATATGCATATGAATCTCCATGCTACTAAATCAAAAACTCAAAAGCCTTTTCATGTGAGCACCCTTCTCACAATCACTAGGAAAAGGGGGAAATTTCCCATTCCTCGACTCAAAAACCTCTAGGATACTTCTAACCGCAGTATAATAAGTTTCCGCTGTTCTCTCAAACCCAAGTCTATTCCATTCATCCGCATCTACTGCTGATTTGATATCATCCCAAACGAATTTCCAATTTTGTATCGCAAGTTTGAAAGGTGCAACGATTGAAGGAATAGATGTTGAAGGTAAGTGAACCAAAGGATTACAAAATGTTGAGGTCCATATATGAACGTAGAGAACTATAGGGTCAGCATTGTGTATAGTTTAATGGAAGTGGATAGTCTTACTGTGAATGAGCATTTGCATATCTAGAGCAGTTAAATTGCGGTTGCACAACGGCATCAGGTCTTCTTTGGCGCTTTCAATAGGAGAAAACAATAATAGGAAAGCATCCTTTATCTTTATTTTTGAAACGGGAAAACCTGCATGATCCTTAAGATCTTCGAACTTTGTAGCTTTGAAATACCCCTCATTGCTAGGAAATGGGAGATCTATTTCTGCCCATTGAAGTCTTGGAGTAAGATTGTTGAATATTGCAAATGCGTTGTCGAGCATCATCATCACCGTTGCCGTTCTGATATACGATTCTTTACGAACCCAATCCCTAAATGAAGCTTGATCTTTGATAACAAACCCAGGAGAATGCTGGATGGTATTTAATTCCAAGTAGCGGTATATCTGCCCGAAATCAGCTCAGCCCCTTGGAAACATGTGATTTCTGGTACTCACTGATATTAATTTTGCAAACCGTTGTTGCCTCACCCGTGTCCTTGCTATCTCATTGCCCGTCCAGTATTGCACAACCACAATGAGATACGCACCTTGAAATTCTTCTAATTGGTATTGTAACCATTCTTGGGACAGGTTCTTCGTACGCTCAGCATACGTTCTACCAGGTAAGTCGAATTCGTCATTGAAACCATTTATTGAATAGATGTAGGTTTCCATGATGTCCAAAAGAAGCTTTCCCTTCGCTACCTCATCGGCCTGTTTGGAATACTGAAGTTTCATTAGCCATTCAACTCTGTATTCATGGAATATGAAACACGCTTACCATTGCACCAAGACTCATGACCGAAAGTACTAGGGGTAATGCAGCTGTACATGGATTAAAAGTTGCTTCGTGAACCATAGGTGCATGGTGATGCCAATGTTTGAAATACAATTTGATATACGCAGCAATGGTATCCACGGTTATGATCTCGATTGCTTCCAAAACTTCTTTGGAAATAGCATTGGGCGCAACCATTGAGCTTGCAGCATATCTCAACTTTTCCCGTATATCGTACGCACGTTGTTCTAGAACGTTTCGATCGTTAAACATCCCATCCGGTGACCATGGAATTAAACTGTCTGGAGGAAACTGCCATCCATGCGTTTGTCTTTCGAATGTGTCGAATTCCAGGTTGTGGAGAAAAGCTAGGTTTTGGTCCACCTCCATACTCGAAGTGTATCCAAAATTTACCATATTCTGGTTCATCATATCTCCTGTGGCCCATGGCTGTATTGTATTCTGAGGAACCAAGCTTGTGTATTCCGCAGTTCTTTCCTTTGGACTACTCCCTGTGGAAGCTTTTGGGAATTCGCGCATAAACTCTGCCTCATTTGGAAAATTCAATAAGAAGCCAATGGAATTTCGATCTGATGTTGGTTCCGAAGTGGTAGATGGGGGCGTTAAAGATCGAGGAGCTGGCATTTCCGGACTTGCAGAAGTTTTTGTCGACGAAGCGGAATCTTGAATATAATGTTAACGATATCGCAAACTTTCTTTCAGTAAACATTAACAACATACTGGTACCCGAAGTTTTGATACAACGCCTTCCAAACTCCTTGCATTTGCGACATGGTACTTCATTGTCGCATTTAACCTTCAGCCTCGAGCATTCATTGCAAGCGTGTCGTTTCCGCCCTCGTTCTAGGGAATCTGGGATAGCGGCTGATCCGCGAAGTTCGCATCTGCTGAAATGGTCTCGGAGAACATCACTATGATATATTGTCAGTACTGAGTACTGAGAGTTTTTAGGAATACAAGCTTGTGTATCTCTCGGGGACCTACCTGCGTTTGAAAGTTTTGGCACAGAATATGCAGCTGAATGGCCGAACACCGGAATCTAGATTTCGCACACGTCAGGAAACTCTCCACATTCGATGACAGCATCAGATCGTCGCTTGAGCATCTTGCATTCTGGGATGGGGAGAATACATACGTTGCTGTTGATGTCGAAGTAAATGTGCCTTGCGTTGGAATTTCTTACCACACTGGTTACATTCAGATAGACTCTGGGTCTGGCTTTGAGCCTCCATTTTGACGGAACCATTGTGGTGGGAACGTGGAACTTCGGATGTTAAAGATATGACTCTATGGTTCTTGCGCAAGATAATTTGTGGGGAAACAAACGTTCACTGAATGGGGGTTCGCTCCTGCCGAAGCAAGGCTAAGAATAAGAAGCAAGAATGCTAAAGAGCAGGTTAGACATGATTACTAGATAGAGTGTTAGTACGATGTGAAGTAGGCCCAAAAGTGTCGGAATAGAGAAATAATAGTAAGATTACACAGTACATGGAGTCCATACACACTCGGGTATACTGAGTTAAGACGCTAGCTTACCAGGTTAGTCTGATACGAGGGGTTATCTCCAATGACTAGGACAATTTAGATGACCGAATACTGCGAACGGAGGGAAGCCTCTTCAGACTTTTACCATCTAACCACCTTGGGTAGTAAAGATAAACTCTTCTTTTTCCCCTGACGCGTAGACCCTAGATGCTTAATTATTCGGAACCCTCTGAACTACCAGTAACCGCCGTTATCGTACGCTGCCACAATGCCACCGCTATATACCCAGATGCTGAGCTGGGGAACGCTTACTATGTACGAACCTATTTGCTAATAAGGTTTGGGATTATGGGTAAGGTTGAAGCTAATTGGGATTAAGGTGTATGTTATGGAGAATTAGTACCAAATGATTGAATTCGTATATCGTATAAGTTATCGTACAGAGCACAATCATCTATCTACAATGATAGCAAAAAGCAAACGTCGAATTCCAAGACTTCGTCACGAACCACGAATCACAATTAAGCGGAGATGAAGGGGTATTTGTTTTTAGGTAACAACCAATTGACCCCAGCCCAGGCTTCTAGCAAATCAGCAATTTAGGCGCACAAGACATCAAATCAAGATCAAAATATAAATAAGGAATTAAATCCATGTTATTTCCTAAAGCCTCGACCCACGCGCTTATTTCAAACAGGATATACTCCGTCCAAAAACTTGGTCATTGGTCGTTGATCTCATCGCGAAATTTCCATTTCCATTTCTAGCCCAACCTAGATATCATCATGATCATACCATATTTCTTTTATCTTCATATTCATTGGATACAGCGCGTTAAGCTAGATCTCCCATATCCACTCTTGGAATCCTACAGCTTTTTTAATCTCACAGAATACTTCTACCTAAGTATTCCTTGAAACTTTTCGACTCTTGACTTTCAACTTTCCAACCTCCTCCCAAGCAACTGGTGACGAAAGATGGACATACAATATGTAGGTACCCTGTGACGTTCCGGATAACGGCCACCATGACCGGTAAGGCAAATTATCATCAAAAACCGTTATGGCCAAGCAAGCGCTTCGAAGACGAGTTAGAACATTGCGTGCAACCAACTCCGCGTATCGGCTCGAGCTCCGGTCGGAGAAATTCACATGGAAGAAGGGCTCGGGACAGAAAGCTCATCAAGGTTCAAACTCATTATCATCCATGGAAGCAGTGGGGTAAGTACCCCTGGACACATTTCATTCGGGGTCCCTTCGGCTTCTTGGTGTAGCATATTATGTGTAAGTACACAGGGAATATCCAGCTTGGCACTTCCTCGGATTCGTAAAAGATCCCATGGAATTTCGCCCTCGCCTTCAACTACGCGAAAGTATATTGTCTAGATAGGCAACAAAGTAATTTCAAAAAGTTTGAAATGTGGATTTTTGATGGGTCCATCGCAGCGCTTAAGATCAGCCATTGGGCACTGGAAAATGATTTTGTTGAAAATGAGGAAGTCTTAACAATTGGGCATAGAAAAAAAGGACACCTTAAGCAGTGGAGACTTTCAAACCGTCTCCTGCCGCGACTTATCCTACAGGAACAGTATATGCATAGGCTTACATTGAGAAAGCAAGGACTCCTAAGCAGACTGCAGTAAAATTCTGCTAATCGCCTTCTCCCCCACTCACCCTATAGAAAAATTGTTGCATATGGACGAAAATTAAGGAAGCCTGGCACAATCCACAACCATTGTGTCCACAATTACCGCACATTTGTCAGTTTTTGGCGATAACACTAAGTATGGTTCCGGTTGAGCATTTCCTGAAATTTCTCTGCAAGGCAGAACCGTTTACCCCATGGCATACGATTTCCGAATGGGAATGATAGGGGTGGGGCGAAATGCTTGAGGATGGGAGATGGAGGGTAGAGTTTTGTTGATTTTGATAGCCTGGGCACACAGTACACATCACTCACTCCCACATGGAACGATGAATTAGGAATGGGGAATTGGGATTGGTGAATGGAAAATGGTGAATTGGAAGAGGGAGGGGGAAGAAGGGCAAGAGAAGTGAATAGTGAATCTGGAATAGTAAAGGAGAAATAATGAGGAGGAGGGAGAGGAAGAAGAGAGACGAAAGACAAAGAGATAGAATATAAATGATTATTGCTATTATTGTGAACATTTTCTTGAAGATTTTTTTATGCAGATGAGACTTTACATGCGATATCAGATTATTATTACTACTATCCCCTAGACCGCCATTATATGACGCCTGAGTGGTTCATACATTAAACAAGACCATCAATATCTTCATAAATAATATTAATAATAAAGAAATCAACAAATGTATAATATATAACAATTTTATTAATATAACTTCAATTAATATGGAATTTAATCCTACAGATATAAAAATATTACGTTCAGGTATTTCTTCTATTTCGAAAACAAAAAGTTCTTTCAAACCTATGAATTTTATTAATTTCAATCGAAAATTTATCCTACAAGTTAATACTTAAGAATATAATATATTCAATCTATTTTATATTTATTTTCCTATTAAAATAATAGAATCGATAATAAAATGAATGAATTTATATATACAAATATTAAAAGACAAAAAACTTTTGAATTCATAGGCATTTTGATAGTATTTTATAATAATAAATAAAAATTTATTTATATTTAGATATATATATATATTGGTTTATATCGAATTTAAACTTGAAATTTATTGGGAATATAATAAGAATATTAATATATACCTTTTTATATATTTTATATCAAGGAATAGATTTAAAGAGTTTTATATAAAGTACTATATTAAACCTCCTAAAACAAATAATATTTACGAAAAAGTAAGATATTATTCTGTCAATTCGAATTTTGTATACTAATATATTTATTTATAAGTAAATTTATTATCAAATTATATTGAAAATATTATTCTTTTAATATAAATACTTTAAAATTAAATATTAATCAATAAAGGTATAGCTTGATATTCTAATCAATTAAGCTTTATTATTATTATTAAAAATAAACCTATATCTATAGGATTTAAGATATAAATAATAATGAATCGAGACTTCTCTATGGTATAAAATTAGTATAAAATTAGCAAAAAAAATAGTTTTGTAAGTATAATTATACTCCCTCTTTTAAAGTTGATAGTAAATAAAAAATGTATAAATCCTATATAAGCAGTAATTCTACATTTGATACAAAAATAATTTAAAGTATTATATTATATTTATATTAATAATCTATTTGTTTTTTACAATTTTTTAAAGTATATATGTTATTCAGGGTATACTATAATAGGAATATATAAATCTAATTCTAATATTTATAAAGATTTAGTTATTTTAAAGATTCAAAATATTAAAGATAATAAGATACTATAGGGAATAGTTCATTCTAAAATATTATTTTTGAATAATATATGTTTTGTAATATAGAAAAATAATACAATGGTTTTAGTGTAATTTATAATTTACAGTAAAAAAACTTTTATCAATAGAATACATAAAAGATTGAAAATTATCTTTTCGAAAGTTAAAACAACTTAAATACTATTTAAAAATGAATATAAAAAAGAATTCTTTATTCTAATTCTTTTTAATGATTATAATTATAATATAAATATTATTGATATAAGAAATTAATTATATATATTTATACTAAAATATCAATAATAATAATATAATGGTTATTAAGCTTTAAAATAATAGCTTTTTGTTATTGTTTTAGTTAATTATTACTTAATTTATAAAGAAATCATATTAAAGTATTCTATAGTCAAATCTCTTAAATATAATGATTTTCGAAAATCTTTTATTGATAAATTAATTACTAAATTTAAGCTCAAATATCATTTTAAATATATAAAACAAATTCGATTAATTTTAATTGAGATTTATAATCCTCTTCAAGATTATTATTTTGTATAATTAAGGAGTAAAAGGAATTGTTATACTTATAAGGAATAGTTTTATAAAGCAAAAAGGATTATATTAAAGAAGAAGTTTATTAATTTTAAATAAAAAGGAATAAGGTATAAAAGCAAATAGGAATGTAAAGAATATAATATTCCTTTATATAATAATAATAAGTATTTCAATAATTATTATAAAATATAATCCTAATATTATAAGAATTCTCAGAATCCTGATGTTCTGATTGGTCATTAAGATCCCTGTTAAGCGAGGCGTTATATAATGGCGATATAAACTTCAAACGAAATCAAATTCTCCAACATCCAATCTGTTCATTCAATTCATCTCATATCCAACTCTCAACTATATGATCCCCTTCTCTTTTATTATAATATACATTTCTATTTGTTTATGTCGGAACACGTGACCAACAACGTGACATTACATGTCACGCTTTACCCCACATACGCACGAAGTGCGTAAGTAGGGGTAGTACACGTATATAGATATAGCAATTCCCTCTTTATACAAAGAGGGGAGACAGAAAAAAACAACCCTTTTAATTATACATATTGTGTATACACACCTTACCAAGTCTGCTCAATAGTTTAGTTATTTATTAATTATCAAAAACAAAAACAAAATTCCTAAAATAAGTTCTGAATAATATCTTCAAGTATTTAAAGAGGAAGACAGGGAGTCATAAATATACTTACTATATCATTAAAGGATATCATCATTATAATTATTGACTTCGATATAATGACTGACAGCTTCCCAATAAGCAAATCCGATTTGAAAATTGAAGATCTCTCAACAATTTTGATTCTTTCGACTATCAAATCCGATTTAACAATCGAGAGCCTTTGAATCGTTGAACCTGATCTAGTGATCAAGAGCACTTCATTTGCCGAATTGAATACATAGCACCTCAATCATTTACGCGTCGATAAGGTACCTAAGCATTCCGAAGAAATATCGATTATATTAAACATGCAACAAAATACCATATCTACACCTCTTTCCATCTCCCCTTCAACCAAGATTTATATCACTCCACTATAAACAAGTACACGTTAGCATATCTTCCTCATTGAACCTCACCCTACCCAACTCTAACATTCACACCATTCTCTCATCACAAATCAAAATAAACTCACCCTCTCAACTCCACAAACCACCTCTTCCCAGGCCTCCAACACATCGAATCCCATCCCCAACAAAACATCCCTATCACTCCCCACAACCCAATTCAAAACCACTCCCTTTCCATCCCCCTTATTTTTATTCTGTCGAATACTTAACATGACTAATCCTTGCAAGATTGTTTCTCGTTGCGCATTATTCGATGGGATGATTGGAGCCAGAATACCTCCTACTGTGTTATTTCCATTTCTGTTGTCTTCCTTTTCTTTCCCTTTAGCATTGGGATTGTTGGGATTTGTATGGGAAGTGGAATTAGATTGAGTAGGAGAAGAAGAAAGAACGGGCATCCAACGAGAAAGCATAGTTTCAGACCGAGAGATAATAATCGTACCCACGAGGCTCCCATCAATTGGTGATTTAGCCCTCACGATACCACAAGATTTTGGATCCATGATGGCGAGATTATAAAGACTATGAATTTCAGGTGACGAATGAGTCTGAACGAAGTCGAGAACTTGGGTTGCGGAGTTTGAAGGACCATGAATCAAATCAAATTGAAGGGATAAGCGTTGGATTGTTCCTAAGAGCCCTTCTGGAGGTGTCCAAATTGATACGTTACGAATTATCAGCGTGTATAGAAGTCGGGGAGAAAGGATATCCCAGCCATTTGTAGCGAACCAGCGTTTAAGACGTGCACCTTCGGTGAGGTCACTCATTGGAATACCAAGGTAGATAGCTGGGAGGGTAGAGCCGAGTTGAAGGTGAGTAATACCTGGTTTTTGGAGGAGATGACGGAGAGCGCGTTGATGGAGGGAGTGACCAATTGAGAGGTTACGTTTGGAAGGGTCAACAAATAATGTGGAAATTGTACCGGTGTGAGTACTGGGTAAATAACTGGTGGAGCAGAATCCAAATAGAGCTTGAGTACTGCTGTTGCGCACAACGTAATGAGACTCTTCAAGAGCATTATGATTTGCGGCGGATGGCTAAGAAGGGGAAAAGAAAGTGTTAGCGATTTTATAATTGAACGTAAATGCAAACATCATTCTGTAAAGAAAGATTCTGAAGTGCATACCATCTCAAAAGAGCCCGCTGTTGCACCCGCTAATGCCGATTGTTGATTTGGTGAAATAGTCTTCTCAATAGATGTAATAAGTGCTTGTAAACCTCTTGCATCTCTATCTCTATTATAACTCTCCACTAACCAATGCTGCCTCGATTTCTGTACTTTCCTACTCTTTCTAAGCGCACCAGGTAACG